CTTCTCTGCGCGGTTAATCCTCTGAGAGGAATAAAATGCAGTTAGTTGTTTATCATTTACAGTGTACGAAGAAGTTGATCGGAATTTGTTAAGTACTTACAAAATCAGGCATCTAACAAAAGTGGCATCGAGCACGTTGAAGTTGAAGAAGAGATGTAAGTCCTCGAAATCCACACTGACGGAACCAGGATCGTGTCGGAAATGATCTCTGTTATAGTAGATTAGCAGAACATGATGACTTGCTAACATTAGATCCATGCAATATTTATGTAACTCGCGGCAACTGAAACCGCACTTATCAAAGTATTCGCCAACAAGAAGTGGCTGACCATGGACGTAATTGCGTGCTTCAAGTACGTTTGCTTTATTTTTAGCAAGCGCCAATTCTATTTGTGCATCATTCATGTCGTCGGAAATAATATTACTCTATGATTCAAACAACTTGTTGTTAATTTGATTCTGGACGATGAGTGCCTTAAGTAAGAGGCAATCGTTCTCATTCCTCTTCGCTCTTGGGGGGCGCCTCCTCACGGGTGCAGCCTTTTTGGCCGCTTCCTTTTTGGTACTTGAAGCACTTCTGGTTCGAGGTCTGGATGCTGAAAGGCGGTCTGCCGAGCAGACGGTAAATCTTCGACGGACTGTTTAGTTGACGGTTTAGCTACGCCGGGCTGCTGAGCTGGCGGTGCTGCTGTGAGGGACTGCTGGGCTATAGGAGCAGATGCATCGGACTACTGACAATGTGTTCAAGCTATGTCGGATTCTGCGTAGGTGGTGCTAACTTGTCGATGTGCTGAGAAGGACGTGCCAACATGTTGGTTTACTGAGCAGGCAGTGCTGACACATTGGTGAATCCATGAAATTAACCAGAGTGGTTAATTGTCGCCCACAAGATTCAAACACGGGTGGGCAAAGAAGCACCACTGCGCTCTCATCACTGAGCTATGAGCCCATCCACAAGGTTACTTAATTTTTCTACAAACCAACTAATATAGAGGATTATGATTGATAATAAAAGGACCGGGGGCCCACACCAGTTAAATTTGGGGGATTATAGTAAAACACATATAGATTTTTGTAGGTGTAGCATTATTGCCGAACGAGCACGTAGTCCTGCGGGCGCGAGTCGCCCGTACCTTCCTCTACCGACCACTGAAAAGTTCTTGACCTTTCTTGCTTCCTTTCTTTGCGTGTCCATCCACGTAGGCATTCATGTGACAGAACTTCCATTTGAAATGTATTTGGTGGAACCGGTCGTGTGTGCAAGTCACTTTCTCCATGCAGGTGAAGCTAGCTACAGGCTACAGGATACAGCCAGTAACCAATAGTATGAACATATTTTTGCAGCTGATTGTGGAGTAGTATAACAGAGAATTTTCCATCTGGATGTCTGATGATGCCGGCATTATTGCACGGCAGCGTATCTTCGAGCAGCTCAAATTGCAGCCAATTGGCGAATAAACTGTGTACATGACAAGGCAATTTTACCACATCCACATCACCACGAAGCAAGGACTAGAACAACTCAGCCCATTATATACCGTGCGCGTCTCCATCATCACTAACACCTAACCTATCGAGATTTATAAATATAACACCATGCGGTTGGTCGTCTCTTTCGCAATTCGTCGCATTATTTTCGATGAACAACCAAAGTGGTGTGTAAAAGCTGACCAGGTTTGGGCATATAACACATTGCTGAAGGAAGAAAAGGAGCAATTTCTTTACAGAAAATATTATGGTGCGTGCAAAAGTTAACCACGTTTGGTAATATGCACATGGGATGTAGCCGAGCATATGTTACTTGCCTGGTCCTATTATAAATCCCACACAACATAGCATCATTTTGGCCTTTCCTGTTCTAATCTTTGCTCGGATTACACCTCTACTTTTCCATTTGGGCTTTGTTAGTGCATCCACAACGAATACCAAATTTCTAGCGCCAAATGATAAAGTAGCTTTTGGCATCCATTCTCACCATTGTGGAGGTAGTGGTAAATTAGGGAAAAGTGGAAACCGGCGCTTCCACTTGCTCCGATGCTAATTCTTCTCATGGAACAATAAACTAGCGACAAGTATTATGAATGGAAGGGAGTGGCATTTGTTCTCCCAGCTTCCAACAAGAATCATGCAAGGCTCACGAGACGGTTGACATGCAAGGAGAGACAACACCAATTTTCTATTTTGCTTTACTCAATACCGAGCCCTACTGTACAAAGATTTTTGCAACTGATTGTGGATTAGTATAACGGAGAATTCTCCATTCGGATGCTTGATAATGCCGGAATTATTGCACGATAGCGTGTCCTGTAAGAGCTTAAATTGCAGCCAATTGGCGAATAGAATGACAAAGCAATTTTACCACATCCATATCACCACGAAGCAAGGACTAGAACAACGCAGCCACTTATACACCGTGCGCGTCTCCATCATGAGTACTCCCTCTGTAAACTAATATAAGAGCGTTTAGATTATAATTTGTAATCTAAACGCTCTTATATTAGTTTACAGAGGGAGTAACACCTAACCTACCGAGATTACAAATATAATGCCATGCGGTTGGTCGTCTCTTTCGCAATTCGTCTCATTATTTTCGACAAATAACGAAAGTGGTGTGTAAATCTTGACCGCGTTTGGGCATAGTACAACACAGGGCTGAATGTATGAAAAGAACAGTTCCTTTTTAACAAAAAAAAGTCAGTGGTGTGTGCAAAAGTTACCCACGTTTGGTCATATAGCACAGGGGAACATATTTCTTGCCCGGTCCTATTATAAATTCCACACGGCATGGCATAGCATCTTTTTTTGTCATTTTCTGCTCCAATCTTTGCTCAGATTACACCTTCACTTTTCCATCTGTGCTTTATTATTTATGATGATCTGGTCAGGTCAGCTTGCACTAAGATTATGTTCCTCGCAAAAAAGAAGAAGAAGACTTGTTTATGTTAGCCAGCGACCCTGTGCTCCCCGTGGTGAGAGCCGGGAGGGACGATCCAATCAGTGGCGGAGACAGGGGGGGACCAGCAGGGGCCCTGGCCCCCCCTAACATCCAATATTTGCAGCTAATTAGCTAATGAACAGTGGGTAATTAGTGAGTATTTGCTGCTAAAAACCTACTATCCAATGATTTGGCCCTCTCCAACCAGTTCTAACAGCCTCGGCCCCCCTGATAATATTTTCCTGGCTCCGCCACTGGATCCAATGCCGGCAGACCACGGCCGGGGACGATGATGATTGCCAACGATTGCGACGGCCCAACTAATAAACTAATTGGAAGAGATTAGTTATTTTCAGAAGAAAAAATAATTAGCAGACAGGCACGGGCGGGCAGACTGTCAGCGGCACCGGCCATAACCACGGACAAAAAGTTTGCCCCATGCAGACTTCATTGACGTGATGTGCTGCGCACGCCCGTACGTCTTTGGCCGTCTGCTCGTCTTGCTCCGCTGGATCCATGACAGTGAGCAAGCACTAATAATTCCATGGGGTCCTGTGGCTAGCTGCTTGTCATTAGCTCAAGAGGGAAGGAACAGTTGGTTAATGGTAAGGGAACAGTCCCTGAGATGCAGCTTAAACCGTTGTTTTCATAAATAAACGGTATAGTAAACTGCTGCTGCCATCTCATCTTAACAGGGCGCTTGTGGCTGTAAAATGTTCCAGACTGTGTTCCGTTTAGGGACGTTGGACAGCCATAAATTACCACGGTGAAACCACCTATGAACAACCAGCACCCAAGTGTCTACCTAGCGGCTGGCTAACGTTAGCATCACTCGTTGGGCTCGAGGAGAGGATGGACCACCAGCTTAACATAAAGTAACATATTGTGCCGGCTTTCGTTCGATTCTTTTGTTAATTGTACTTGACAAATTTCTTCTTTTTAATGGATGATGAAGTAAATCTTTTGTGAAACTACTCCCTCCGTCCGAAAATACTTGTCATCGAAACGGATGAAAATGAATGTATCTAGAACTAAAATACATCTAGATACATCCATTTCAATGACAAGTATTTTCGGACGGAGGGAGTACTTTACAAATGACACGCTTCACGCACGATAGTTAATCCACGGGCCGTGTTGCACCTAGTCGTATGTTCGGATGGTCTGATTTGTGGTATCGTGCAACAATCGGTTGAAAAATGTCGTGCGCATAGGCAACACACATCTTTTG